CCCCCCCCCCCCACATACACCCTCCTATCCCTCTACACAATATACAAGCAACCCACCCAAAGAGTACTTCCTGGGCAAGGGGGTAGACTTCTGGTGGCAAAGGTCAGGAGTTGGGGGGTGGGACTTCGGTCACAAGATGGCGACCGGGAGTGAGGCTACCCTTGCAGTCCTCAGTGCTTCACCAAAACTTGTTAAGTGGCCCTCCAGCCAAAATAATTGCCCACCCCTGCACTAGTTCTTCACATTAATTTCTTTCCAGAACCTTAGCTATTTTGACAGGCTTTTATGGTGGAATATTCTAGAGAGGAGCAGCTTGTAAACCATGACTTCAACACCTACAGCATTCTTTCAGATGGTTACTCAGTTTATGAAGTAGAATTCTCTCCTGGATTTACAGTCATTTTCAGTGCCAGCAAGAGCCAGGCTCTTTTTCATGTTACATAATCTGCTTAGCATAACAACGGTTGCTTCTGTTCCAAGCACAGAGAAGAACTGGCGGTGGAAACAGGACTCCTTTACTGCCTTATAATATCCAAAAAGAAGGTAGATTTTCATTCCATTCTGGATCTGCCTTTGAATTCCAGCTGATGGGGGGGTAAGATGCAAGGTAGAGATGACTTCCTGTATTTGTTGATGCAGATGGGGTTTATCACCTCATGTCTATTTAAAAATTTCCTTATTCTGTTGAGGCCTCAATCAATTAACTTTTCTATAGCACTGTGCACTGAGATTCTTCAGTTGGTGTCTTGTCAAGGGGAACCATTCTTTTTAGAAACCATACTCAGTCCAGTTAATTACTGGTATAAACGGTAGTGACTAGGGACAGAGAACCCTTATGTGCCCCATATCATTTCAACATATTTGATCCAAGATGGAAGCACAGTAAAGTATCAGGTTGGCTGATGTGGGGCGGATGGAGCGTCCCACGGGAGCATAGCAGGGGGGTGTCCTCCAGTGGGCTTGGCGCCAGACCTGGAAGTGGACCAGAAGTACTTCCGGTCCACTTTTGGATCTGTTGTGGAGCACGCGCTCCTGTGGGACACTCCATCCGCATCACCATCTCGACATTCACGAGCCGCACCTGGTACCTTGAGATATGTAGAAAAAACATTTAAAGCTGTGTCTGTGGCCGAATCACTGATTCTCTGAATCGGCATCAAATTTTCAGATTTGGATTTGGCTGATTGAATTGGTACAGTGATCCGAATCAACTAATCGAATCACTGTCCCCCAAGTTGGACTGACTCCGAATTGAATACGGCCCACTTCGCACACCCCGACTGTGCAGCCTCCCCACCGCTGCACCATGAATCTGAGATCCCCCCCAACTTCTCCTAACCCCAACACTGCTCCCAACCCCAACATTGCACCTCCATTGAGGCTCACCCGTAGCTGCTCAGTCTGTCATGCCCCCTGGTGCAGAGGTAGGAAGCTGCAGCTGGTGAAGAGAGGGGAAACCTAGAGGCTTCAGCTGCTATTGTAGCCAGTGATGAGTGGAGTAGCCACTAGGCAGGAGCCCAGGGGCTGCAACTTAACCCCATGTAGGCTGCATGCTGCAGCCTACACATAAAGCAGGAGTGTCCAACTGGTGAGAGGGAAAGCAAAGAGCAGGGGTCAGCAATCTACAGTCTATGGACTGCATCCTTCTTGCAGAGATAAGATCTGGCCCACAATCCAGTCCATGTTCTACCAGTGTCACGTGGAAACCCTCTTGCAGCTTACCCATGGGATCTGGCCCGGATTCTGTATGTTGCATTTTACTAACAACTAGCTAACCCCCTGTCTGCCCAAAGGGCTCTCTAGGATCTTGGTTCCCATTGCGGCTCTGGCTCCATGAAGAGGACAGCTCTCTTCCCTTCCACACTTCAGCCTCTGCTCACTGAATTAGCTACCCTGAAAGACACAGCAAGAGACAATTTGGAGGAGGCTAAAGGGGGTGGGGGAGTAAAAGAGTAGCCTCTCTGTACACTACAGGAACAATTGGGCACAGTAGGGGATGGGAAGCCCTTGGTTGAAAGGAGTGGCCCACATTGAGTAAAAGGTTGCCAACCCTGTGGTCATCACTCATCTATCCCTTGTTATACCCCCCATGGCATCCAGCATCACTGGCTTGGAGGTGCCAAAGAATACATCCCTGACAGCTCTATTAATAGGTATCGTGTGGCAGCTACACTATATTCCTAATCATCTTGTTTTCCCTTTTCTGTATCTTTTCTAATTCATCCTTTTTGAGATGCTGAAATCAGAACTGCATGCAGTATCCAAAATGTGAACATGCAATAGTTTTGTACAGTGGTCTGATAATATTTTCTGTTTTATTTTCAATTTCCTTCTTAATGAGGCCTAACATTTTATTAGTTTTTTATTAGCTTTTTTACTCAGCAAGTGAGTGTCTTATGATTTGCTTTAGTTCCCTGGTGGCATGGCAGAATCAAAAACTACATGAGTTGAAAGTTAAGCCTATTTATCTTTGAGTTTAGTGAAACCCAAGACCAAAACAGTTAAGGGTCCACCACATAGCAAGCACATGGGACTGTTGTGGTTCAGAAATGGAGGGTTCCCTTCTGGAAACCAAGAACATGATGTTGGAGGTGCTATATCCCTAGTCCAGCACCAATAAATAAGACTTTTATATCAAATGTTCCCTCCACTGCATCAGGAAACAGGCCACTAGATTTTCCAGTGTATAAAATGAGTTTTTTTTTCCCATGAAAATGGAGATCTAAAATAAGGTGGGTAACACCAAAGTTACATAATAAAAAAGTAACTGCACTCTTTTTGTAATAAAAAAACCTGTAGTAGTGTTGGAGTGCTGTAGTTGTGATGATGCAGGAAATGTGTGAGAAACAAAGTTTTATTGAACTTTTAAAGCTTTATACATAAAATATTTTAAAGATTTATACATAAAAATAGTAAGGGCTGTACTTAACAGTAGGGTACAGGAGGCGAGTTTATGCCAGGACTCTTATTTCCTTGAATCACCTAAACCAATAATAGGAAATGAAAACCCTCTTTGTTTAATTGCTACACAAATTACTTGGAACAGGTTACTATCCTGTACTGGAAATTCAGTAGTTAACTTTGCAGGGTCCTAACTCTTACAAATATGGGAATAAAAAAAGCAGCTTAGAACCTAGCTTGTCTGTTGGTTTTCTGGAAGCAGTTAAATGAAATAAATGAAAGTTATTTGTATGTACAGGAGGACATAATTTGCATCTTAGTGTTTAAGTTGTTGCAATGGAGCTTTGTAGCTAACATTTCATTGAAGCAGTTAGGACATCAGGATGATTGTAATTCAGACATTTTACTACCACTTGTTTATCTGGAAACAGTGTTCTACAAGTCTCTGTTTAAATAGGCAACAGTACATTAGTTAGACTGTGGTTATTTTAAAACAGATTAAAAACCATGAAATCCAGGATTCTTCAGGGATCTTAAACATTTTTTCCATTCTATTTTAATGAACTGCTTAATGCAGTTTGTACATTTTTACAATTGATTTTTTTTTTTTTTTTGCTAGCTGAAAGCATAAGCAGCTCAAATGAAACTTACTTAGACTGCACTGCAGATTGCTGAGTAGGCCAAGTGCAAGCTGTTCCTTCCTAGCACATTGTCAGTATAAATAGTATAATATGTAATGTTGTCTTTTGTTTATCATACAATTGTTCTATTTATACCAAAAGAAAAAAATGTTTATTGTTCAAATTATATTGTCTTAAATTCCATAATGTGATAATTAAAAGGAGAAAACATTCACTTAAGCTGGCACTGTTAAGGAACTTCTTTATAAAGCATTTACTTAGGCAAATTCAGTACAGATGGAACATTTGAATATTGATTATGTCACTCTGCCCAGTTTTCCAGCTGGGATGATTAAGGTACAAAGAATTTAAACAAATTGCCAAAGATCAGGTTTTCAGTATATGGCTTTTCATTAGTTAGGATCCAGCATTTTTTTTGCATGAGAACATCATGCTTTTTTTCTCTTATGGTAATAATGTAATTGTAGAAAATAGGGCTGGAAGAAACTTTGAAAGATCACCCAGTCAGTCCATCCTTCTGCACCAAGGCAGGATCAATTGCCAATGCATTTTTAATTATTATTTGTATAACCTCACCTTAAATGCCTTCACTAATAGAGATTCCACAATGTACTTGGTTCCAGTGCTTAAAACTGACCTGAATGTTAGGATTTTTTTTAACTGATGGCCTTGGGAGGATCTAGAATTTTGGAAAGGTGGGTGCAGGTGTTGTGGTGAATCATCATATAACACAATGCATTGTTTTCTCCAATTGAAAAGAAACTAGAAGCTTTACTAATATGCTAGGTAGAGTTTTAGGGCTATATTATCCTGTTTCAGATCCAAGGAAAAATAAATATAACTGAGTTTGGAGACGGTTGACTGCTAGCACTATGATGGAATAGGCACTTTGTGCCAGGAGAGTACAGCTGTTAACCTCCAACCTGGCCATGGACAGAGCTGTTCCCTGCACCCCAACATCTGGGTCCCCCAGACATTCTGTGATTGCCCCAAAGTGTCCATTACTGCTCTTTGTTTTGCCCTGCCACCAAAAAATGCTTCCTGGCTGTACTCTGTCTTCTGTTATCCCACGCAACCCCCATACTTCACCACCACTCCATTTCCCCCTTGATACCACTTTGAACCTACTGCACCCTGCAGACTCATCCCCATCATGTCTTAGCCCCTCTGACCTCTTGCCATCCTCCTAACACCCCTGTGAGTCCTCCCCCGCCCCTATGAGAACCCAAACCTTACTGAAGTCCCTCACACCCCCTGGGGTCCACCTTATCCACAATCAGTTTTGCTTCCAACCCCCCCTTGCACCCCATTTCAGACCAGCCCCTCTGGATCTGCCCATGCCTGGCTTTTTGCTGCCCTGGGTGCACCACTGGCTTAGCTTCCATTATTTGCCTCAATGAATAACCCAGGAAAGGGTCACTGAAATAACTAGGGACCTACTTAAATCACACTAAGACAAAGTGTTTTTCATGGCCTGCTCACAGTGCACAAAGACACTTTCATGGGCATTTCATGTTGGCCCTGCCCCTCAGCACTGATTCGCAGAGATGTCCTGTGGAGAAGGAGGAATGAGGGGTTGGCTGGCACTTTGATTTCTGGCTGCCCTTCATGATGCCCCATCCCAGCGGAGGGGGGGAGCGATAAAGGGGCAGCCACCATCTTGTCTGCTGCCCTTCATGCTGCCCCACCAGCCAATGCCCTTCATGCTGCCCCATGCACCACTGCCACTAAATAGCTGCGCATGCTTTCAGCCCTGACCCTGCTCGCTCTCTCTGATTTGTGGGTTTGAGTCCCTTAGGAATAAAGCCACCCAATACACATTCCTAAATAGTGGCAAACCTTTATTGGTTAGCCTAGCAAGTGAGCAGAGAAACATTACTAAGAGAATTGTAGAAGGAAAGGATAGCTTGGGTAGTGGAATATATAGGGTTATTAATACCTGTGGAGTAAAGAGATTAGCAGAAGCCAAGTAGATAATAATGACATAATAATGAAGTCAATTGACTCCTTCCTTAAATAGAAATGTAACTGTCCTTGCCAAGAAGTTTGTTTTTAAACTTTGAGTGGAGCAGGAATCAAAGAGATGTATAACTGTACCATCCAGCACCCCTACCCCCAGATCTGCCCCTGCTGATATCTAACCTACATCTCCCTTGTTGCAATTTAAGGAGCTGCCCTCCCCTTCTCCCCCCTCCCCCTCATTCTGCTTCCCAATTGATATGAAGAATAGTTGATGACCTCCCTCTTTGTCACCTTGTATATATTTGAAGACTTTTACCGTGGCTCAAGTCTCCTCTAAAATAAGTAAAGCCAACTGTTTCAGTCTTTTCACATGACTCATGTTTTCAAGATCATTTTTTTTCTTCCCTCTGAACTGCCTTTAGTTGATCCATTTCTTTCTTGAAGTGCAGTGCCTAAAACTGGGCACAGTATCTAGCTTAGACCTTGTCATTGATGAGTAGAGTGGAAGGATTACTTCACATTAGAGCCATGCGAAACAACATTGTTCTGCTTCAACTTCCATTTCAATGGAACAATGTTTCGTTTTGAGTTTCATTTCAAAAGTGCTGTTCTGTTTCATTTTGTTGAAACTCTGCTGTTTTGTCCATAGCCAGCACCAGGAATATTGGTGGTGCTGCTGGCCCCAGCGGCAGCACCAGCCTCCTGTGATCCAGGAGACAGATTGGGGACTTGCACCCCTAGAAGCAATCCGGCACAGCCTTCCCCGCAGAGCGGGTGAACTCCCAATCTGCCTGCCAGATGACAGGAGGCTGGTGCTACCAGCTAGGTCCAGTGGCAGCACCAATCTTTCCGGCACAGGCTGTGTCCAGCCAGCATCACCAGCCTCCTGTCATCTGGCAGGCAGATTGGAAGCACATCCACACCCCCGGGAGGGCTGTTGGGGCTGTGCCGGATTGCTCCTGGGGGTTCAAGTCCCCAATCTGCCTCCTGGATCACAGGAGGCTGGTGCTGCTGGCTGGGGCTAACGGCAGGTGGGCCTAGGGCAAATGAGCTTGTGCGGGGACCCACCACTGCCCTCATCCTGAGGCAGCGGTGGGTCCCCACACCAGCTGATTTTTTTTTT